GTTTCTTTCTGTCATTGCCCCATCCATATCATTTCTGTCCACTGAAAATTTTGCTTACTTGTCTTGGCTTCTTCTGTTACAATGTCAAAGTCAAGATTCTCGCTTTACTATCAGTGCCCCATGCAACCTTGCTATGTCTGCATCTGATCTCATTTCCCCACGTCCCCCAACTCACATTCCACATTCCTCACAGTCCTCTGACTTTATTGCTGCTTTTGTCTGCCTTTCATGCACTCATTTTTGCACTGTCTTTCATGCTGCCTATGTGCCTGGAACGGTCTTTAGCATCTCAGCCAATTTACAGCTTTGCATAAATTATATTTAATAATAAGACTAACAAAAGTTCATTATCTACATTATTTCAATTAACTTTGTACCTGCATAAGTGGAAAACAGCCCGAGGGAAAGTACTGTTAAACTTTGTTGTGATTTGTTGTGATTCAAAGATACAGATTCAGGCACGACAGTTCTTTGATGATTCAGCATAAATTTAATTTTTTAACAATTCGGTAGGTGTTAGGAGTTTTTTTTTGGTTTTGTTTTTTTTTTGACAGTAGATTTCAGATTTTTCTAATTCAGAGATAAAAAACCAGCTACTTATGGCTGCTAAGTGAAACCACCAGAAGGTCATCATCTTCACATTACCTGGTACAGGCTCTTGCCCTGTGGTATATTTTACTTCATTTCGTCCTTACTAATATGGATGTGGAAGGGCTTTGAATGTTGGATTAACTTCATATCTACAAACAAAGTGTATCTTTTGTGTTTAACCTTCCTTTTAAAGCAACATACTCATCTGCTTAAAAAAGCAGTGAAATATAAGAACATAAGACTCTGCCTATATCTGGGAAGTTTTCTCAGTGTGTTGGCTACTTTGACTTACGGGTTTTCTTAAAATACTAAAAGTTGTTTAATATTTTAACTCCCTTCTAACACCATTGAAAATGAGCTGAAGGTCAAACTTCATGTGCTTGTCCAGCATCAGTGTATAGCTGCAAGGCAGGGTATTCTGCAGGAATTATGCATAATTTTCCAAGTAAAACTGCATTTGAAATATGTGGGGTATTTTTTTTTTTTTTGTTCTTTAAATGGTTGTATTGATACTGTGCACAGCTGAGTTGTGGAACCAAATAGATGTGCCTTTAATTTGTTTTTAAATGGTCTCGTATATTCTGGAGATTATAATCTGAAGGCTGGCTGCCATAGTAATGTGCCAGTCACCATGGCATCTGAACATTATGAAAAGAAATTCTGGGCTGCACAAAGACAATGCCACCAATTAGTATTTCAAACGGATCAAAGGTGGGGGAGCAAAAAGTTTGCCAATAAATGTAGCTGAGTGGATGGCACTAGAAATTAGAGTTTGCTTTACACAAACTCATAAAGATTTCAGTCCTCCTATCGATATCATGTGAATTTGCAAATAAAAGCCTTAAAACAGACTTCATCCATTTACTATACTAACCTTTTTCAGTTGCATGAAAAGTATAGCCGTAGGTTTTTATTTCACTGCCTAGTGAAGAAGTAGTTTATAGTTCTGCTTTATATGAATCTTTAGAACTTTTTCCTCCTTACAGAATTTTTAACTTTAAACTGAAATTGTCAGTTAATGAAGAAAAGAGGTTTTCTGTACTTGATTAGTAAATATTCCTAGTCTCTCTAAAACTTTTGCAGTCTGCTTTCTTAATACTATTCTAATTACCAAACAAGTATAAAATTAAATAGTTATTTAAAAGCAAGCTTGTTTTATCTTAAATAATTGATTGTGGCTTGTTGTTTGCAAGAGGACTACTTTGGCATGAATTCCAAATCCAGTTATGATCTTAACTCAAGCAGTTTGTTTAATCAAACATTACTCTAATAAGTCTTACATGGTCCCCTACCCGACCGGGCCTGTCTATAACAACTAGTTTATTCTGCGACGAGTTGCTCAACAGATGTCATTCTGGTAGAATAACGCAGCAGAATACTTGTGCGTTGGCTAAAATTACTTCAACTTTGATCACTTTTGTCCGGCACATCAGTCTGGCATTGTGCTTTATACCAACATAACACTTTACCCCGAGCATGCCTTTCAAGCTTAGAATAGCAGAGGAATGTTATTGAATTCAGTGCAGTTACAGATGAGTTAATAAAAGAAGGGAAATACTGTTTTTTTCATAATGCCTTTCTGTTGTACTTTGGAATTAAAAGGGAATTTGAGGAATGTGACTTCTGAGTTATTTATTTTTACTTCTGAAGGCTTTTTGAAAACAATATTATGTAGTTGCATTGATCCCACGTTTCTCTAAGTAAGTTTCACTTGTTATTTGAAAATAGCTCATTTTAGAGTTTTCTATTCTGAAAATAGTATTAGAAGACTTTTTTGGTGTGTAATTGGAGAATAGTTATCTCACAGGGACAGTTTTTCCTCTGTATTTAATGCAAGAAAACTAAAATAGCAAGAACCGTATGCTTGTGATCACAGATCAGTATTGTTACATTTTGATGGGCTGTTGTGGGGTCAGTACGGAGTAATGACATCTCTTTACCTTGATACTGCTGTGAAACGAATACTGCACAGCAGGCTACCTTCTTGTTAAGAAGCAGTGAAGAAAGGCTGTTTGTTTTGAACAGTAGGAATGAGATCATATACCAAGTTCTATAGAGTTCGGTCTTCCATAATTCCATTTTTCACAGGTGCGTGTGTGTATACAGATGCATATACATGTATATATAAGAATATACCATATACGTGTGTATTTGAAATGTATTCAAATAAGTTTTTAATCATTAACATACATTTGTATTTTTTAAACATGACGAGGAAGCACTAATGTGAAGTGCACTTCATTTACTAATCAATGCTTCAGTATTCTGTGTCTAAAACAAAACAATGTTCTTGTTTTAGTTTTTTTAATTAAAATATAGTTGTTTTTTTTTTTTTTAATTGAACCATTATTACCAGATCAGTCTCCCTGCAAAAACTCCTGAACAAAACCAGTATTAACATAAAGGTTCTTGGGTGTCCATGTAATTTACCAGTTTTACCAAAAAAAAGAGATATCTTAATGATTCTGAAACATACAATGAATGTAAAGCTTAGCTGAAAATCCAACCCAAATATATGTTATGATACTGAAATGTCCAGATAAGGAACCCACATGGTCTGACTTTCATCCTTTAGTAAGATGTAGACTCAAGAGTTGTAAGTAATGTATCTTGCTGTTAGATAATAATTTGAAGCCATTGTTTTCCACTTATCTATTCAGAATAGTTATATTTATAAAGCTTTAAACTGATAGTATTGAAATTATTATCTGCATAGCCTATATAGTAAATCTACCCAGAAATGGGAGAGAGTTCTTCACAGTTTTTACTAAAGGGCACTTTATTAGTATGAAATACTACTACCACTACTACTAGTACTACTACTACTAAAAGTAGTGAGAATGAGCAACAATAATTGAATGGAGCATCTGAGAACTGGAAATACAGTAAGAGCACTGGACTTTGTGTTTGCTCTCTGTATGCCCTGAATTTTCTCAGTTGTATTTATTTGCTGGCAAACTCATGCAGCAGTGCCATGAAGAGTCTTTTGAAGAATGTTGCCTAAATCAACATTTGTGAGCAAGCGTATGTGTGGAAATCCCTGCCTCCTCCCTCATCCCCCTTAGGATATTTACAATGATTAGAACAGTTGTTTTACCACTTAATGTCTGCACATGTATTCCTCATCCTTGTATTAATGTGCTTGAACTATGTGCAAAATTTAAAAGAAAGGATTTATGCAGCATTTCTCTCTAAAGATGATCCTGAGAAAAAGAATTTTGGTGCTATTTCGTTATGCAAACACATTTTTAGATTAATATCTCCTTCCAGATGTTGCATATACATTCTGTACTAAAAATAGATGCCAAATTTTGAGGGAACATATGCACAGCCCATATGTTTACGTTACCATATTACCTTACCATGTATTCAAAACTCAGCTGTGCTTCCATGATGAAGCTATGGCAAGTACTGATTAATAGTTAGGGTCAAATTATATAAAATGTCTGTATAGTAGATCACTTTGTTTTATTGTATTATGTCCCTAAGAATGGTAGTTTAGAATCACCTTTCATTCATTTCTTGAATAAGGAACTTTTTTAAATATATGGGTTATGTTAGTATTTCTCATTTTGACAAATTTCAGCTTTCTTCCTGATTTTTTTAAATCATTTTTCTGTTCAGACAGAGAAAGCTGTTAAGTTAGGGTAAGTGCACGAGACTGCAAGCCGGGTCAAACGTGCCAGCTTTTTTATCTGTATTAATGTTTTTGAAGAAACAGTTTTGCGACTCTTCTATTTTGCAGCGTTCTTCCTGTATATGAAATTTTCAACTCTTTCTTCTTTTCCCCTTCCATTCCTCCTGACAATGATCGTGTGAGATTATTAATGGTAGTGACTTATATTTTAACATCATAAGAAAAGAGTTGATGTAAAAATTAGTTTATTTGCGTTTTGTTAACAAATGTTTGAAGTGGGCTGTCTTCATTGGAAATGTGCTTATTAATTTATATTTTCATGTTTAATACTATCACTTTTGGTTTTTTATCCCATTTAAGAAACTTATGCAAAAATAGTTGATTTTCTTATGTATTAGCATGAACGTAAAATTTTCAGGTGAAAACGGAGTATGTCAACTAGCAAAAACTGTAACAGAATTTTTGTTATTGCCTTCTGCTTCCCTTCAGTTTGATCATTACTTTGTAATACTGTTTACTGAGGAATTTGTATTATGAATTGTTTTACGCATTTATGATACTTCAGGAATAATGTATCATTATGAACAATACTTTATAGATTTTTTTTTTTTTTCTCTAACGTAGTTTGTTCAGTTGCTTTCTGCAGCACTGAAATTCAGCAGTACTGTACATAAACCTGTGGAACAGATCTGAATCTTCGAGTGTTGGAGGAACAGTTTTGTTAGTAAAGGTTCTGAATTTTTTTGTTTTGGTTTGTTTCTTTTTTTACTAGGTAAAGCGGAATGTGTATGACCTGACTAGTATCCCTGTCCGTCACCAGTTATGGGAAGGCTGGCCTCCTTCTGCCACAGATGACTCGGTGAGTTGCTTTGGTTCTCATTTCATTTCTTCCTAAAAATAGCCAATTTTACTTGGATTTTTGATCAGAATCACCCAATAGCTTTTAGTGTCCCATATGCAGTAACTTATCATTATGCATACTTTGGGGCTTTATCTTGAAAGATACAAATACTAAGTTGTTGGCTTACTAAAGCACGCTTCCATGGAAATTATTCATGTGTATCAAATACAGTGCATGTTTTAGACTAGAAGGAGATGTATTCCTAGATTGGAGCAAAGCTGTGCAACATTGTGGAAGTTGAGGAGGTCTATTGCAGTGATGGAACTTCAGCGAAAAAATCCTATTTTTTACATGTATTCTGAGTGCATATCTAGATATTTTCCTCAGTCGTGTCCATCAGATCACTGGTATTCTTAAGCCTGCGTCTGGCTTTAAGCAGGAGGTGTTCCTGTTGAAATCGGTGGAGAACTTCACTTGCTTTTAAAGTATCTACTTTGGTTCTTGCTGGACCAGTAAGAATTTATGGACATTTGCAAGATTACATTTTGAAATGATAAATAATATGTATGCAGTACAATATGTATTCAGTTTGCAAATGTATTTTTCAGGTTTTAGAATTACCATTATTTAGAAATGGAAAGAAATCTTAGTCGAGATCAATATGTACCCTCAGTGATGGAATCAGCTAACTGTGAATTGCCTACAAATTCATGAAATTATGGGACTTAACTGCAGAATTCCATTAAATATTAGACTTGCTTCCTTGCATGGATGTCCCTGCAGTGTGTTTTACAGCATGTCTTTCAGTTTTGCTTAGACAGTTTTTTTCTGGTAGTATGTTCCCAATGCCAGCTAGTGAGGTCCACCTTTATTTATTAAAAAAAAAGCCTAAAAAGCCGAAATAATTATGTAGTTATGTTGTATATAGACTTTGTGATCTGAGAAAAATGTAGAAAAAATAAATACTTCTATTTTTATAAATTCATTCATTTAAACTAGGAGTTGAACCTGAGTATTCTACAAAGTAAAAATGGAATTGGGATTTGCTTTCTTTATGCATTAGCATTATCCTCAATGCATTACTTTCCTGTTCATTTCTACTCTCTTTTTCTAAAGGGACAATTGGTGTTTGTATGATAAGACTGCTGCTTTTTTGTTCTGGGTAAAGGATTTATGCCAATCAAAAAAAAAAAAAAAAAGCAAAGACTCTCCGAATTTCTAAGATACTTGTAAAATATGTCTGTGGTAGTGTTTGCAGAAACAGTAGTTAAGTTTGAGAGAGGTGGGTAAAGCTATGTCCATGTATTCAAGAGCATATCTGAGACGATAGATGTAAGATCTGAAATAACAGCATGGTGTCATGTGGTAATTACAGTCTTTGAAATGTGGATCCATTTTAACATTTTATTAGTTTACATTAGCCCCAAAAAGAATTGGAAACTCAACACTTCTAATCCGTTTTCCCACAGCTGTTAGGTTTTCCCGTATTTCCCTGCCCCCCCTTTCTTTTGAATAGGATACCTCACATATGTAAAACTCATAAATCTGTTTTAAGTCTGTTTTTACAAGTGACATTGTTGCAGGTGAATTTTTCCCCTTTTCATCTTTAATGAAATCGGTGAATGTTGAGTCATCTGCTCCAAAGCAGGATAGTCCTCAAAGCTCACTGCTCGAGTCTGGTGCAGCTGAGACTTGTCAGCTGTGTAAACAGATTTGAATGTGTTACCAACAAAAATATAATTAATTTCTGTCTAAAATTAGAGGCCATAGCTTACTATTTACAAAGATTTAATGTTAGCAATGACTGTCTATGGTTCTGTGATCTGAACATTTTTTCCTTTGCAAATTAGAAATATTCAGTAATAATTACTTTAGTAATTAGTCATGATGTCTTTAGTTCAGAGGCAAATTTTTAAAATCACTTTTTCTGTCATGAGTTTTTCACTTGCTGTGTTGTATAGTATTCCGTTGCAATTAAAAGAGTTAAAGAAAGACTTGATTAAAATACTTTTTCATTTACATGTTATGCAGCATAAGAAATACTTTGTAATACCACAGGAGGTTTTTCAGTGCAGTTCTCGTTAACCTTTGGCTTAGCAAACAGGACAACTAAATAGACTTCGCATAATTGGATTCCTGTATCATCTTGAGTCTCTTATGAACCTGACAGACTACAGTCTTCTAACATTATCAGGAAATTTAGTGGAGTCAGTAGTATTTAAAACATTGTTGCTTCATCTCCCTTCAGAGTTAAGATATGTTCTCTGCTTGTACTATCTAATGAAATATGGGATACTGTATGAATTGTCAATAACTCTTTCAGATCCTTTTGCACACTTTCACCAGGGAAATGGGTATCAAAACCTCCGCACGCAGGAGAATGTTTTCATGCTGTGACAGTTTGATTGTGGGTAACAAGGCATACGTAGTCTGTGGAAATCTCATGTTCACCATTTGGCAAGGACATATTTTTAGCTTTTATCATGCCAGAATAATTTTAATGCCATGAATTATATCTGTTCTGCTCATTAAAGTTCAAAGAAAGTAAATGTATGAGTTTTAAATTTTTCTTTTTTTTTAACAAGTTTACTTAAGTAAAACTTTAATTATATTGAAGATTTACTTTATCTGGTTTGGGGTATATATCATCAACTGATATAACGAAGTCTTGGAAAATTATCCTAGAAAATTGAAAAATAAGTATAATTTGATTTAAATAGTTTCACAGTCTGTTCCTTATCTTTATTTCTCTTTTGGATATTGTAACAACCTTAACGTTACTGAGCTTGTAAAATGAAAATGAAGCCAGAATAATTTAGTAAAATTTCTGAAATGTATTCCGTTTCTCTTTGCTATATTGGCTGAACTTCTAAACTTCTGCTGATAATTACTGCTCTTGCCAAGTGGAATGAGAAACCTTCAAATATGTATGTGTGAAAAAAAAAATATCTGAGATCAGTTGTAGGTGACTTTTTGGATATTAGCTTTACACGTGTATATTTGAGGTAAAACTGTTTTCCCCCTTGAGGTCACTGTTTTTTCATTTAGTTCGGCAGGATGAGTTTTTGTCCCTGATGTTTCTGTTCATTTTGGTAGCATAGAACAGCAACACCCAATATGGGAAGGAGGGGAGAGGTTGCTTTTGTGCTGCTTTTGTTCTCAGTATTTAAGCTAAAACTTTTTTCTTGATTAGTTCATTGTTTTAAGTCATTTCAGCGTAGTGATGAGAAATGTACTTCTTCATAAATAATGACAGTGAGCTTGCCAAAATGGAATATTTTTCTGCACGAAAATGATGTAAAACTTTTAGAATGAGGTTTGGAGGGGTAAATGGGAGAAAGACAAAGACAGAAGATGAAGCGCTCAGTGTTGTAACTGTGCCCTCGCACACAGATCCTGTACAGAGGAACTTGGCATCCGTCCTTCCACCTACTGCCAGTAATGCTTTGTTTCCCTAAACAGTAAGGTTGGTCAAGACCTGGTATCGTCATTTCAAGACGAGTAACTGTACTTCTCTACTGTATAGATAAGCCAGTGGATATTAATTTAGGCAGAAGTAGGTCTACAACTACAAGTTATTCAGCTGCACTACTGAAGAGTCACATTTCAGATGTGACACGTGTGTAGCTACTAACGTATTGAGGCTTTGCTCTGCATCATCCCCCGTCAATGCAACCACCTTCAGTTCTGTGATGGCTGTAACAGATGTGGTTGACGTTCCTTAGCTGAATTTAATAAAGACTTCTAGGTTATAATCAAAATTCTCTAACGCTTATGTATGATCTAATTAGCACTGCTGTTATATTTAGCTGTTTCATTGCTGAGAACTAAGCACAGTCTGCACAGATAGAAATTAAGAATGCTGATAAATAGTATTCTGGTACAAAGTCAAACCATTTATGACGCTTTTTGGCTGATCTCCAGATTTTTGAAGAGGTCGAGTATTAAGCATCTGAGTAATTAGTATTTGGGTGTATATATTTCTTTCCCTTTCCAGGTCTTACAAAGGTTTTCTGAACAGAAAGTTCATTACCTCATGCTGTCATTGTGATATGAAAACAAACTGCGAGGTTTACATACACTAGCTGTTTAATTGTAATGGATACCATTTCTGTATTTACTGGATCATTTGAAATTTTCCCCCTGGAATTGATATGACTAAAGAATGAATAGTCCTGACAGAGAAAGTGTCTATTAATCAGAAGTGTAAAATTGACTATATTTAAATTAAAATACGTACATCATTAGAAAATGCTCAAATATTTTTTTTTTCCTGTGTAAGAATATCATAATTACACTTTGGATGGTCTCTAATGTTAATTATTTTTATATGTTACTTTCCTTCTGTGGTTCTCATCAGTTGCTTGCAGTAGAGTAGTAGAGTGGATCTGGCAGGATCCTTTTAATTTAGATACTTAGAAGAATACTTGCAGTCTGTGTTGTTATGTGGGTTCAGGAATACGGTAAAGTTTCAATTTAACATTTATACTATAATGCCAATTTAGTAGCGAAAATCGTTAGACAGTACCCAGTCTTGGAAGTTCATGGTAATCTATGAAGCAGCACATTCATCATCATTAAGAAACAGAAAAGTTACTGAGTAATTTAATAAACTGTTCCTAAATGTCTTTATTTTAGATAACCTTCTGACTTTGATGGCTTGCTTGGATGTTTTTATGTGGATGAAAGTATAATGAATTATCATGTTCTTTCCCCAGAATAAACAAGGAGGTTACAGTTGTTCCATCACTTTTTTTTTTTACACCCCCCCCCGGTCTATTTTCCATTTATAAAAATTAAGATAAAGTGATGGGAATTAATTTAGTTTATGTAAAAATTACCATGTCAGGGATAATCAGTTTTGTGTTTTGTTTGTACTTTTTCATCACAAGAGAATTTATTTAGGATTGTCCAGTTTTTAAGCATAAAATAACTCAATTGAAGTGATCTACACCTGTCACGTTGCTTTTGGGAAGGGTTTGCTTCCTCAGTGCATGGTAATGAGTCCTACAGAAGTG